CAAGTATTACACATGTAATTAACACCAGTGGTAAGATTTGAACCCAGCCCCCTCTCTGACTATACTTTTCTCTGGTAAAAGCTTTTGGAGATGGATCAAATTTGGGGCCTCTGGAAATGAAAAAGCTCATTCCTAGGAAAAGCAGAGGAACGGAATTGGTTTCACATACGGAGGCCTCTGGCAAAGCCTCTTCAGTCAGTTGGTTGATTATAGTAAAGTTTCCAATCAAAACAGTTCATAGACGTGACAAAGGCGGGAAAATCAGTGAACGAATTTGAGCCCATTTTCCCCCTTTGTTGGGACAGGAGCTACTTTATAGGCCAGATCAATTCAATAAATATTTGTGCAAAGCACTGCAGGGTATACACTAGAGTATAAGAAGCCCGAGGGCAGGACGTATTTTTCATATTCATCTGACACTGTGATTTTATTCAAGTAAGCACTTAACATACATAGCTTAACATAGCGGTCAGTGAGATGGCCTTGGAGTCAGGAGGATCTGAATTCAAAGCCTGCCTGGCACTTATCACCCACTTGACCTGGGCACATTAATAATCTCCTCAGTTTCTCTGTCTGTAAAGTGGGAATAATAATGACATGGCCCTAAGCCAACCTTATAGGGTTGTTATGAAGCTCAAATAATATAATGTATTTTAAATACTTTGCTGGCTTTAAGGCATTACATAAGAGTTCATTATTATTACTCTCTGCTTGGTGAATTGAATCGGAAGTTAACACATTAAGATGAAACAGTTCCTGTCCTCAGAGAATTTATCATCCAGTACTCAGTGTGAGGTATTTATTGAATTTTTTTATTTGATTTGATATAATATCCATTATCTAGAAAAATGTAGGTGTAGGACTGGAATGCCCCTAAGGTCCCACACTCTAAATCTATGATCCTAAGTCACTTACTCCTCTGAGCCTCAGTTTCTGTAAAGTGAAGAGGTTGTACTAGTCTATCTCTGAGGCCTCTTCCAACTTTAAAGTTATGATCATATGAATATATCACTTCTCATTATGCCTCAGTTTCCTCTTCTGTAAAATGAGGGAGTTGGACCAAATGACTCTGAGGTTCCCAAATCTCTAAATATATGACCCGATTTCTCTCCAATCCTATGAAATGCATCTAATTGGTGAATCCCAAAGTGTCACATGAAACCAGGTGAAGGTCCACCTCACCCAAGGGGTTTCCATAGAGATAGCTTCAGGCTTTTAGAAGGCAAGAGAGTCAGGAGAATATGATTTTACTCCTTCTTTTAAATTGCCCTCAAGTCAGCGCTTTTAAAAGGCCCTGAAACCAATCTTATTTTGACCATAATTCCTTTTTAAGCATCTCTAAGATGTCACTGCTACTCACGGTGGATTATTTTCCTGCAGATGGTTTTCCATACCATGGATGGAGGACTTGTAATAATCACTGACATTAGCAAGCCGGGGCAGGGACAAGTGGAAACAAAAGTGTATGTATTTGGAGGCCCAATCTCCTCATTTGATACAAGTAGGCAGTACGGTGAATGGCACACCAGGCCTAAAATCACGAAGTCCTGAGTCTGAATCCTGCCTCAGATTTTACCAGATCTTCAGCTCTATCTGTCCCAGTTTCCTCATCTGCAAAATGGGGATGATAATAGCATCTAGCTCCTTCTTATGGTTGTTGTGAGAATCAGAGGAGGTAATATTTGTGAAGTTCTAAAGTGCTGTGTAAATACGAGCCCCTTCCCTGTTTTTTACAGATTTATCAGCCAAGGGCCAGGGAAAACTGGTGGTTTGTTCAGGGTTCTGCAGTTAGGTGTGACAGGGAGGTCAGATCTCTTGACTATATCCTGCTCTTGCTTCTGGCTTGAAATTTTCCACAGTATAATAACAGAAGCTCCTCAAGGGCAGGGGCATTATTCCTTCACCATAGGATCAGATTTAGACCTGAAAGGGACTTCAGAGGACATCTATTTATTTCCATTTTCTCATTTCACATATGAGGAAACTGAGGCCCAGAGAGGTTGACTTGGCCATGGTCATGCAGGTAAATAGGATATTTGTTTTAACCCACAGCACAATGCCTCAGACATAGTCAATGCTTAATAAATTCTTATAGGATGAATGACCAGACACTGAATCATAGAATTGCAGAGAAAACTGGAAAGGATCTCAAAGGTTATCTATTCCAACCTTTCTGATTTTACAGAGAAGGAAACTGAGGTCCAGAGAATAGGAGACTTGCCCAGAGTCACAAAGGTAACACTTGACAGAGCAGGAATTCATCTCCAGATGCTCCGAATTTAACTCCAGGATCTTTCCCTGTATAATGCCATAGTTAGACTTAATATGCTATCTCTAGATGAGAACATCCCTTTAGAGCCATCACAAAGTTGCCTCTTTCATGAAGGGAAACCTGGTCTACCAGAACTGTAGTCCTGGTCATTGCCTACAAGAGAGCCATAGAAGGTCAAGATTAGAAGGGGCCTGGGAGAAGGAAGGATCCAATTTCAGAACATTCATGTGAAAGGAAATTAATCTGGGTAACCAAAGGCCCAGCTGCCCTCCCTCTTCATCTCTGTCTCTGAGAATCCTTACCTTCCTCCCAGGCTTAGCTCAGAGGCCATGTTCAAGGATTGTCTTCCTGGGTCCCCACCAGTGGTTAGTGCACCCTCTTTCAAAAATTGTTTTATTCATGTATGTGAATTTGGGGTCTCTTCTCCTATGATAATGTAAGCTCCTCCTAGTATTTATATCCCCAGCACCCAGTAGAGGACCATAAGAGATGGCTGCCATGCCCATAAAAAGACTCCAAAATTGACAAGGCTTCCACCATCATCTAGTACAGCTCTGAGAAGGGATATCATCCATTTGCACTCCTATATCAACAGAAAAGACCAAAGTGATCCTTTCAGCAAAGTGACAGATAATCTAGAAATGAACTGACCCAGACCACAAATGTTGCATTTTGTTATCATCACTTACTAAATCAATCAATCAATAAAACATTTGTTAGATGCTTGCTAAGTGTCAGGCACTGTGCTCAGTGCTGGGAATTAAAAAAAAAAAAGGCTTAGTTTATTTGGACCAATGAAACGATGGGAAACCCTGTATAAAAATCTTTGTTGGGTTACTCAGAATACCAGAATCAGGTTTGGCCTGTTACAAAGTACAGCCCAGCACCGATGTCAGGGAAAAACACGTTGTTTTAAATAACAAGCCCTTTCATTCACAATGATACAGGACATTGAATTTTTCTACATCAGTGAGTTTTGACTTGTTGACATTTTCAGAAATCACATTTGATATGTTACTTGAAAAACAAAGAGTAAGGAAAATTGCCTTGAGGCTAAAATTGCCCTAGAAATGCATGTATCTTTAGACTATTCCCTGTTTGAAAAGGGAGAATTACCTGGTCATTATAAGCTTTCTTCCTTTCTAATTACTGTGACATATTGAGAGATACCAAATAGATCCATTATCTTTGAGTCTGTTGGGAACACATTAAACCATTTACTTTCAGGATGGAAATAAAGCCACAGTTTATATGAATCACCCCAGTTCTCTTGAATTTCTATACTTGTATTTAACTGAGATGCAATAGTATTATTTATGAAATGTGTAACATTCATGAAAGGTACGTTCTTGCCCCTTGCCATCTCCCCTAGGATTATAGCCTGTTATTTGTCTATGCTCAGGCACTGAATAAAAACAAGTATGTCAGCCAGAAAACCAATCAACTATAGTTATTCCAGCACTTGAAGAGTCTGGGATCTCATTGGTGTGGGGACCATGGAAAATAGGTTGCAACCCTCCCATGACTTGGGAGATGAGATTTTGAGTGTTCCTGGGGGCAGAAAGAGGTACCACCCTCTAGCCATGTGGATGGCGAGTCCAAAATTAGCTAGACTGGTCTTGGGACAACAGGCTTACATGTTGAGGGCACCAAGAAGAGTGGGGTCCAAGGGACAGTGGAAAATTCACTGGGCCCAGGATCAGAAGACTGGGATTTAAATTCCACTACTGGTGCTTTGTGACCTTGGGGAAGTCATTTAACTTTCTGAACCTCATTTGCTCAAATTTAAGTATGTGCGTAGGGGGGTGGGGGTGAGGGCAGCACAGTTGGACTAAGTGACCTCTATGGTCCTTTCCAGGCCCATCTCTGTGAACCAAATCTCTCTCTTGGTGCTTACTCTCTTTGTGATGACAGGCAAGCCCTCCTTCTCTGCAGCCTTAGCTTCCTCATCTATAAAATTCAGAACTGAATTAGATCGCTTCTAAAGGGCCTCTGAGGTCTATCTCTATGATCCGATGACATGGGATCAGATCCTGCCTTTGTCCCTTACTACCTGTAGGCAAAGTGGCTTCACTTCTGTGGAGTTAGGTTCCTCAGCTCAACAAGCATCAATAAGCTCTTGCCTAATTAAACACTATGCTAAGCACTGTGCATACAAAGAAAGGGCAAAACCCAGCCCCTCCGCACTGGGAGCTCACATTCTAATGGGAGCTGGATGGGCCAGAGGTTATGCTCCCCTGGCCTAGGCTTTGGGAACTCAGATTCACAACCAAACCACAGCAAAACATCGGAGGAGGACGTTAGCAGAGAGTCAAGGTTTAATTAATACTATACAGGGATTGTAGCATGCAACAAAGAGACGTGGGTGACCAGGATGGAGAGAGAACTGGAAATCATGCCACTCCAAAGATCATCAAAGGACCTGAGGATATCCACCCAAAGATTAGTGGGGACATAATAGTTGTCTCCATTTTGGAAAGGGATTAAATTTATTCTGTTTGGCTCCAGAGACAGGACAAGGAAGAAGTAAGTGTAGGAGGAAACCAGTTTATAATTAGAATCATCCAAAAGCAGAATGGATTTCTTCAGGAGGTAGTGGGTTCCCCTCAATTCAAATGGAGGGTACATAACCATTGATTTAAGAAGTGGTAGAGGAGATGCTTGCTCAAGTTTGGGTTGGAATAAATGGATTCTGGATTTCTTTCCAATAAATTCTACATCTATAATGTAACCTATATAAAGTCCTTTATTTGCCATTTAGACTCTTCACAGGCTAGCCCTTTCCTACCTTTTTCAATTTTCTTCCATCCCACTCACTCTACAATCCAGTCAAACCAGCTTGCTGGCTATTTCTTACACACATGACATTTTATTTCTCATCTCTAGCCCTTTGCACTGGTCATTCTCCATGCCTGAAATGCTCTCCCCACCCCCAAGCTCTGGTTCTTAGAATCTCTTTAAGACTCATCTCAAGGGCCGCCACCCCCAGGAAGCTTTTCCTGGTTTCCCCCAGATGCTAGTGCCAGAACAACTCAAGTTACCCTCCATCTAGATACTCTGTATTTAGCTTGCATCTTCTGATCTACATATGTTGTCTCTTAATTAGAGTGTAAGCACTTAGAAGGCAAGGACTGTTTTGGCTCTTTCTTTGTGCCCCAACATTTAGCACAATGCCTGGCTCACGGTAGGTGTTTAATACATGCTTGGCGATTAGCTGATTAATATCATAATTGAGCCTGTACTGTGATTTCATTGGCATAGAGATCTCCTGGATGACCAATGCAGATCAGTCATTTGTCTGCAATTTATAGTCGGGGCACTGAGAGGTTACATGACTTGTCCAGGGTCACAGCTCATATGTGTCAGAAGTAGGATTTTAAACTGTCTTCCAGGCTCTCATGCCACATCTCTATCTACTCCACCACACTGCTTCTATAGAATATACAAAAGTCTTAGGGTGGTAATAAGCTATTAAAGCTAAAATAAAACTATTGGGATGCCGTGTGTGTGTGGGAGCACACACATGTGTAAGAGGAGTAGACTTACATAAAAATACAATAAAAAGGAGTCTTTAAATCAAGAAACTATTTGGCTCTTTGTTTTGGTTTACTGACAAATATCGCCGTCCTGGCATCTGGCCAGTCAATCTTGGAAACACTATCAACTATATGGCTCCAAAGACCCAGCTGTCCAGCCATTTTCATTCCTGTCACCAATCCCCTGGCCAACTTTCACAAATACACATTCCTTTCTTGCCTACAGATAAATCCTCTTCCTCCAGGGAGACATGTTTTCCATCCAGCTACAAATCCTGGTTCAAGATCAAAATGAACTCAGTGGAACACTAGGGTTCTCAAAAAACTTCCTTGAAGTTTATGCAATGGGAAAGTCATCCAGAAGGCTGCCATGCCACCTGATTAAATTAGAAACATTGGGTTTATTTATACAATAACTGCCATGGCTTACAGATTAGAATCCTAGAAATAATACATGTCTTATAGCAAAAAATATACATACAATAATTCTTCCTTCTATGGTTTATATAAATGTTGTATGTTTTTGAATCTCTCTCTCTATACACATCTATACATACACACATACATATGTATATGTATAGATGTGTACATATATGTATATTTACACATATGTACTCTGGGTGTGTTTTTTGCAGAATATGCATTTAAAACCCATAGTCCTTCATTGGCTTTTCAATGCAGGTGTCAAGGACACCGGCTTTCCAAGTCTTTCGCCCTGAACAAAGGTCACCGTTGGGGACAGAGGACTGGTTTGATGCATCTTCCTTTGTGATGAACCAAGTTGGCAGGACAGTGACAGCCTGCCACACACGGCTTGTTGCAGGGGCCGATCTCATTCCAGTTGTCGCATGTCTTGATGCATCCAGGCCCACAGGTGTCATATACAGCGCCATGTTTGCACTGGGTGGCTGAAAGACAAGAAAGGAGACAGAGCATGGGCTTTGGAAAGTGCATCTACTAGAAACAAGACACTCATTTCTTTGGGCTCAAGGGCATTCCCTGAAATTCATTTCACTTACAAGCATTCTCACTTATTATGACTTCCAATTTGTATGCTTTATACAATAAGGCAATCCTCAAACTTGCATGTCTGCCATAGTTCAGAGCAATAATCATAACCCACATTGACAGGGTTGGCAAACTGCTTCTTGTCTCAACAACCACTTATATATTCCAATTTCAAATGGACTCATGGAATGATTTCATTGACATGGACGTAGCCCTCTACGATGAGGAGCACACAATGCCCACACAAGGGAGGCAGGGAGTACAACTCAATTCAACCCAAAAGAACCTTTTAAATGCCAACATGAGGATTCTAGATCTACAGTGGGAAGGGGACCTCAGAAGCCATTCAGTCCAAACCCTTCATTTTACAGATGAGAAAACTGAGGCCCAACAAGGTGAAGGGACTTCTGCAAGGTTATACAGATAGTAAGAAGCAAGGGCAGGATTTGAACCCTGGTAATCTGTCTCCAGAGCCAAAGGGCAGTGGAAAGACACTGTCCGATGCTGCCTATGTAATCCATTGGGAAATGTCAAGGTGAAACAAACAAAAACAAAATCCCCTTCTCCTAAGGAGGTTACAGTCTTCTTGGAGAGATAGGACATTTCCATGGATGAGTAAATAGAGTACAAAAAGTAAGCAAATAAGGGTATGAGAGTTCTCGTTCCTATTTTACAAATGTGAAAACTGAGATTACCATTGGCTAACCGACTCGACCAGGGTCACACAGTTAGGGAGTGTTTGAGGTCAGATTTGAACTCTGGTCTTCCTCACGCCAAGGCCAGTGCTCTATCCACTGTGCCATCCTCTGTCTCTATATGAAGAGAACTTTTTTTACTTATACAAAGTAAATAAAAAATTATTTCATGAAGCTAGGGGAATGGGATAGTTCTCGCCTTCAACAATATTTGTGAGAGTAAAATCCCTCTCTTATGTCTTAATGAATATTGGCTGGATATCAAAAAAGTCATAAGTAGAGGCAGCGAGAGGATGTAGACAGGGGGTAGATAAAGAGTGCTGGACTTGAAGTCAGGAAGACCTGAGCTCAAATCTTCCCTCAAATACTTACTAACTATGTGATAATTGGCAAGTCATTTAAGCTTTTGCCCTCAGTTTTCTCATCTATAAAATGGATATAATGATTGCACCTACTTCACAGAGTTTCTTGTAAGCATCATATAAGCTAGCACAGTCTCCTTGCAAATCTTAAAGGGCCATCTGATCCCAGCTATTAAGCAGATACAAAATACAGACAAGATGAAGAAGGGATTATTATCCCCAAAAGTGTCAGAAGTACTGCCCCCTTTTTTAAGCAGTATTTGATACAGACTCTGAAAATGTCAATGATATGGGATTCTAGTGGTGTGGGAGCTCCCTACACTGATGGGGATCTCAACTTGTCCATGACTTAGCAGAGGATTCTGAAGACTTTCCATAGCTGAAAAATTCATCCTTTGAGACAAATTCAGTGAGACTCTTTTTGAAGACAGCCAGTCTGCTGGTTACATGGCAGAAGCACAGTCTGACATTGGGCGCTGACCCTGTGCCCTTCTAGCTCAGTAGGATCTGACAGAGCTTGGGTTCCACCAGTGTTGCCTTCAAGAGCTTAGGGTCACCTCCATAACATGCTGAAGTGCTCGGGAGGATAGTGATGGAGATGGAAAAAACATTCATTTTCCTACTGGCACGCATATTAGCAAAGCACTTCCTTCCAGGTTACCTCAGATAAAAGCAATGATGCTACAGGTAACCTCAGGTTCCTCTACCTCCAGGATCAAATATGGAATAATCTGGTATTTAGAGCCCTCCCCAACCTGGTCTCTTCTCTTTCTTAATTCTGCTCCATGTGCTCTGTAATCCAATGATGCAGCAACTTTGCTATACTCTTTGCTATACTCTATCTCCATCTCCATCTCCATCTTCATCTTGCACTGGCTATCTTATCTTCCTGGAATGCCCTCTCTTCCCTCACCTCCACCTCCTCATTTACTTGGCTTCCTTCAAGAATCAGCTCAAATCCCATAATATAGAGGAGATCTTTCTTTCCAACCCCCCCTCAAAGTACTAGTGACTTCTTTCTGAGACCACCTCCCATTTATACTGTATATGTATGTGTTTGTATGTGTGTATGCAATACCTAATTCTACCTAATATTCATATGGCATTTTACTCTGTGCGAGACACTCTGATAAGCACTTTACAATTATTATCTCATTTAATCCTCACAACAACCCTGAGAGATCAGTGCTATTATTCCCATTTTACAGATAAGGAAACTGAGGTAAACAGTTAAGTGACTCACCTAGGGTAACATAGCTAGTAGGTGCTGAGGTTAGATTTGATCTCTAGTCTTTCTGATTTCAAGATGTCTCATTATTTATGCATATGTCTAGTTATTTATTTGCAGCTTGTCTCCCCCATTAGATTGTTAGCTCCTCCAGGGCAGGAACCATGTTTTTGCCTTTCTCTGTATCTCCAGTGCTCAGCACCGTGCCTCTCACACCGTAAGTGCTTAATAAATTCTTCTTGAATGACTGACAAAAGAACACAAGTTCTAGCAGATCTTACTTCCCTGGAAAGGTCCAGAAGCTGACTTTGGGTCTACAGTGCAATAGTGAAGTTTATCTCCAGATGGGTGGATGTTAGGTGATGAATTTATTGGTCCCAGCTCTTTGTGGAGACTACTGACTAAGGTGTGTGAGAAGTGTCCAGAGCTGCATCAACAGAGAGGCCACCAAGGCCCACAAAATATCAGAACTTTCAAAGCTTTGAACTCCAAGAAATGGAACATAAACCTCAGCTCAGCCCTTTGCATTTGTGATTCAGCTGGCAATGACAGCATACATGGCCAAATACTGTGTAATTGGAGAACTGGAAGACAATGGCCGGTGTTCAAGCTGGCCCGCTTTGGTTTTCATCTCCCAAATTATAAATTCAGAGCAGTTACAGAACATGCCCTTTCTGACTTAAGTCAATTAACAGGAAGGGGATCAGAACCATAAAATGAGATTCTGTGAAGGCTACTCAAGTAACTGTCACTCTATAAAAAATCAGACGAGAAAAGTGGTTTCGTTACCCAAAGAGTACTCAATTATCTTCTGAAATAAATTCTCATTTCTTATAAGGAAATTGCCTGCTTGATTCATAGGATGTTGGGAAAGTATTTGCAAAAACATCTGAATAAAATCAGTTTCATAAGGGTTACTTAGCAGCATGACCCCATTTCTTTTTTCTAGATAGAACTCTAATTTCTGTTTTTCGCACTGTTGTGTGTCTTCCACTAATGCCCCACTCCAATTTGTCATTGGAACATCAAGGTGATCTTGGGTTCTCAGAGGTTCACAACCACTTCATAGTTCAGTAGACCATTTCCTGAGTCCCCAGGGACACCAAAAATCCATCTTTGGCTAGCCATCTCTTGGGATGAGCCTTTATAGACTTAGCTAGGCTAGTACTCAGATGCTCAGAAATTAAGAAAGAAATCTTAGTGAATGTCAAATTCAGCCTCCTCCTTTTGTATATGAGGAAACAGGCTCAGAATTAATTTACAACATCATAGATTTAGAGGAAGTTTGGACCCAGAAGCCATCTAATCCAGCTCCCTCATTTTACAGATATAGAAACTGAGGACTTCCATGACTTACCCAAGGTCACAGAAAGTAGCAGAATGGGACTTTATAAACTTACATGCACAAAGCTGTTATCCTTTCATGTAGTTTATACCTCTCTCTCTAGATATATATATATATATATACACACACACATATATATACATATATATATATATGTTTTCTGTGTGTAAATATGCTGAAATGGGCTGCAGCAGTAGAGAAAACAGAATTCTGAAGAGGTGGGGCTTGGGTAAACAAGGTCACACAGTCCTTGTCATTTCCATGCACGTAGAATTAGCCGGAGAAAATATTCTGCATTCTAATGCCAATAGAATGAAATCCCTAGATTAAAAGCAGCCTTCACTAACCAGGCTGATATTATTACAGCTGTATGTGACACTGGGCAATTGACTTCTTCCACTTTTACAACATTCATGGGTCTCTTTGCATTGACGATCAGTTATTGATTTATGATCCTTAAAATAATCAAAATTACCTTGTTGATAAGAGAGGAGGGAGAGATGCTGGAGAGACAGAGACAGGAAGAGACAGAGAAAACAGCTGTATGATTCCCAGGTCTCTTTCTCTCTAAATAAAGTAGAATATGTTAGGTAGATGAGTCAAAAATCTGTTGTATTCTCTCAGTAAACATAAGCTTTTTGAATACAGGGACTATTTTGGTCTTTGTATCTCCAGTGCCCAGCACAGTGCCTAGCACATAGTAGGTGACTAGTAAATGTTTCATGATTGAATAAGATGCCAACTCAGTACAATGTAAAGTCCTTCAAGGCAGGGACTATTTCACTTTTGTCTTTGAATCCCCAGTGCCAAAGGCAGAGCCTGTCACACAGTAGGCACTTAATGCTTCTTTAATTGAATTGAGTTGAAAGGTGAAGAAGGAAAAGGCAGGAGGATCTGAGAAAGACAAGGGTGATTATTTCTTTCTGAACTTAGCCTGTGAGCAGCTCCATGGGTCCAAAAGGTAAACAGCAGCCCCAAGAGTAATTCTATATAGCCCTCACTCATCAGAACATGCCATTCCTGCTGTAATGCAGCCTGTCCCTACTTCCCCTTGGCTAGGCAATGTGGAATAGGAAATGAAAGTTACAGCCTGCTAAACTTTAACACAGGCACTAAGCTTGGCAAGGGGAAACTGGGCTTGGTTAATAATGGAAAAAATCACTGGAGCAAAGGGTCTGGAAGTTGCTCAGGGATTAAATTCTTGATCCTAGCAATTGTAGGAGCAAGAGAAGGAGGGAATTGGTGCAGAGGCTGGCTGAGTTGGATAATAATGTGCCTCCTTTGTGGCCCCTGAGTGCTCTAACCAGAAGCCAATTGAGGTGCGCCATGTAGAGCTCCGGAACTAAGCTTCTTAATGCAAAGGAGAGAGCTGTCCATGGTCTGAGAATAGTGGCAGTTCAGCATTCTCATCAGAGTTCACTTGTCTATTACCATTCATATTGAGGAGAATCAACTGGCTCTGCAGGCATCTCAGAATATAAGACCTAAGCGGAGGCAACTCCCAACAAAAGGTCAGCTCTTTTCTCAACTTCCCCTCCCAATGCCCATTTATAATCAAACATTTCCAGTAAGCTGAATTTTGCTCCAAACACAAAGAGGTCAGGAATTAATTAGAAACAGCTATAAATACAAAGTTACATAGCAAAATCTATTTCTACCTAGGTGCTAGCAATTTCCCTAACTGGGGGCTCAGAGCAACGGTGACTGAACACAGAATTTTGCATCTACAAAGAACTCCCTAAAGATGAGGGAACCAAGTGGGCCATTATATTGTCCCTTAGGCTTAAAATGAAGGGCAGCTAGATGGTGAATGGATAGAGTGGCAGCCCTGGAGTCAGAAAGACCTGAGTTAAAATTCAGGCTTAGACATTTACTAGCTATGTGACCCTGGGCAAGTCACTTAACACTTTTGGTCTCAGTTTCATGTCTATAAAATGAGCTGGAGAAAGAAATGGCAAATCACTCTAGTATCTTTGCCAAGAAAACCCAAAAAAGGGATCATAAAGAGTCAGTTACAACTGAAAATGACTACCCAACAAAAAAAGGCTTAACATGTGCTAATTATTATAACAGGGTGTTCCATAAGTACTGTTAGTAGAAATATTAGAGGCAGCAGCACAACATAGTGGAAAAAGGGGATGGGTTGCTTCCCCCGATAGAATGTCAGTCTCCTGAGGTCAGCAACCATTTCATTTTTTCTATATTCCTAGCACCTAGCACAGGGCCTGACAAATAAGCATTTATTAAATTACTATTCTATGACTGAATAAATGAAGGCCAAGTTTGGGTTCATGGCATATAGGTTTGTAAAGGTATACAATGTGTCTCATGATATAATTCACACACATGATATAATGGATAAAGTCCTCATTTTGTAGTCAAGAGGATAGGTGATCAAATCCTGCCTAAACCACTTATGAACTATGTGACCTTGGGCAAATCTGGGCCTCAATTTCCTCATCTGTTCAATGATGAGTGAGGTCTAACAATCTCCCACTGATAATTGAATATTAGTTCTTCAGAGAACTTCCAAAAGTGACAATTGTCATGCCAGCGGTATAAGCCAGACCAGCCTCTTGTACAATCCCTTTTTCACTTTGCATTTCTTACCCTACTTCTTGCCAAGTGCCTTCCAAGGTCTTGGACCCCACTGAATTGTCATTCACTTCCTTATGTGGTCTTGAGCATTATCCCAAGTCAAAGGTTTCAAGTATGACAAACAATGGGTAGGGGTTTTTTTTGTTTTTTGTTTTCTTTTTGCTTTTTGGTGAGGCAATTGGGGTTAAGTGACTTGCCTAGGGTCACACAGCTAGTAAGTGTCAAGTGTCTGAGACCAGCTTTAAACTCAGGTCCTCCTGACTCCAAAGCCAGAGCTCTATCCACTGTGCCACCTAGCTGCCCCTGGGTAGTTCTTAAAGGTTCCAGTATCCTAGGTGAACCTCAAATGAGTGCCCAGGCATAACCTATGCATCTGGCAATGTATTTGACTATTTATCCATCTGCCACTCTGCTATAATTCATCATGTTAGCTTTCTTAAATCCCTCTGGACTCATTGCTGAGTCCTGAGTCCCTTAGCTTCATCTATGCTTTGGGAAATGGTTGATAGAGGATCCCAGGAAAATCCATATTGCTTTTCCCTTAGTAAAATCTTTTTGGAGTTTTGGAGCCAGCCTCATGAAGTAGGGATCTGGAGGTGAGTCAAGGAGACCCAAGTTGAACATGTGTTCTGAAAGGGTGAGAAGCACAAACCCAAGGTCAGTCAGAAGCTACCCCTTGTGGTCACAGAGGCTGTTATCTGGTGAAAATTCCAGTGACACTCACTGCTTGGAGGTTACATAAAGATCAAATCTGTCCCGAGAGATACAAAATCACATACTGAACAAAAGAGTTATGCATGATCTGAGAAGTCCTGGTATTCCAGTCAATAAATGACTAGTTGGGGAGAGGGAAAGAGAGAGGAGAGTCATCCCAGTAATGTGGCAGCAGCATGGCATAGTAGAGAGTACTAGACATGGATTCGGGGAGACCTAGCATCAAACTCCGCCTCTGACATTTATTAACTGTGTGACACTGGACAAGTCATTAGCTCTTTCTGAGGCTCAACTTCCTCACATGTAAAATGGACATAATACTTGTAGTACCTGCCTCAGAGGGCTGTTATAAGGCTCAAAGGGAGATATTATAAAGTGCTTTGCCAACCTTAAAGCACTATGTAAATATCTTGTTAATATAACCCATGATTCCAATGCTTAGTGCATCTCTCCCTTGCTCTATACACAACTTGAAATATAACTGAGGCTTTGAATTTGTAGCTGATTTATAGATCTGAGAAGAGCCCAAGGGACCTTCTAGTCCAACCACATGAGGAAACCCAGTCCTACAGAGGTTAAATGACTCACCCAAGATCACACAGATATAAGTGGCAGAACCAGGAATCAAACCCAGATTGTTTGACTCCAAATCCAGCCTTCTTTCTACACTATCATTCTGTTTCTTTGTGTTGGAAGAAACTCTTAATGATGATAAGCTTGAAAATCTGTTAAAATCAGATTGTCAACAAACATCTCTTCCTAAATGGTTGATGACTTGCTCAGCGACGGCTTCCTGTTTTCTCAAATTGCAGAACAAGTGGGCCATTGTTGGACTTATTGATCTCAACCATTTTTCCTTTTCTTCTGCCAGGGGTGTACTGTGACAGTTGTGGTGGGCTGAATAATCCCCGGAAGGATTCAAACTTCCTCCCACAGTGAAAACCATGAGAGCTCCCTCACCTGCGCAGTTCTGCTCTGGCTTCCAGTGAACTTTGGCCCCTTCTCTTTGGCAAGCCCGGGCATATGCCAGGAAAGATTCACAATAGCAGTTTTTATGGACTGGACACTCACACATGTCTGTCACACAGGACCTGTTGGGGAGACAATGGAGAAAAATGAACATTGGAAATCCCTCAAATCATCACATAGCATATCTGCCATTGGCCATGCCTGGAAGGCACTCTTTTCTTACTCCTGCCTTTTAGAATCTCTCTCTTCCTTCTGGACTCAATTCAAGGAGGACTTCGTATGTGAAACCTTTTCCTGGTTGCCCTAAATGTTAATAATTTTGTATCTAAATATGAACTTCTCCAATAGAATGTAAGTGCTTAAGGACAGAGATTGTTGCATTTGTGTGTATGTGTTTGTATCTCTAGCACTTAGCACAATGCCTGGAATATAGTAGGCACTTAACAAATGCTTGTTGAATGACTGAATAACAGATAACATTATTCAAGAATAGTATCCTATAAAGAGGTTACATATATTACTACTACTGCTGCTTCTCCTCCTCCTCCTCCTTCTAATACTACTACTACTACTAATAATAATAATAATAATAATATCATTATTTACATTTTACTGAAGAGGAAACTGAAACAGCAACGTTAAATGACCTTACCTAAGCAATGGTAGCTAAGCCATGGAAGATTTAGAATTTGAGCACAAGTCCTCTGACTACACTGACCTCTGACCACTTTCCATAACACCACAATTCTCTTGGTCTAGCATTCTTGAGGTCTGTGATATGAACAATCCATTGGGTTGAGGCAAGTTGGAGAGTGAAATCATTCATAAAAAGTATGGTTGTTCTACCAATGTTGGATCCCTTTGTTAAAACATGGCAAAATAGTCCTTTGGTTTTAGGGAGAGCCATAAATAGCAATTTTGTTCCTGGGGCAAAAGTGATCACAGGAGGGAAGAATTATAACCTAGGCCAAGGACAACACCCCTCTGTGAAAGGTAGGCATAGCCTTTAACAAAAAAAGAGCTGGCCAGAAGCCAAGATGGCAGAGTAAGCAATAAGTTGCCATAACTCTCCCATATCCACATCCAAACAACCATAAAATAGCTCTCCAAAACAAATCCTGGAACGGCAGAACCAGCAAAAAGACATTAGCCCAAGAAACTTGGAAGATCAGCAGGAAATGTCTGTCTCACTTGGGTAAAGGGGGTGCCCAGTCCAGGATAGGAAGCATCCCAGCAAGCCAGCAGCAAGCCTCATCTCAGCAAACCAGCAGGAGATCCTGAGCCCCAGTATGGTGGAGCTTGCAAATGCCAAAACCAGTACTCCCCACATGCCTCAGCATAGCCAGGGGAATGGGTAGACACCAGCTCTGAGAACTACCACATGCTTCAGCAGAACCTGGGGCAAACAGGTAGAAGCCAACCCTACCAGTGCCTAAGCAAATGGGTAAACAGGGGCCATCACCAGTTCCTGCCCCTTGCTTCAGCATTGCTGTGGGCAAACAGTCAGCTTCCAGTTCCAGACCACCACACGCTTAGGTGTAGCCCTGACACCCCAATAGCCTCAGCACTCACCAGACACCAGCACTAGGACCTTGGCTCAGCACCAGTAAGCTGCCAGACCTCTATGGCCTCTAGCACCACCAGTCAACCCCCACCCCACCCCCTCAGTGCAGCACCAGCATGAGGGTCCCTTGTAGGCCTCAGGACAGCATTAGTGCAGCACCAGATAAACAGACAGCATTTGCAGCCCCTGACACAAGAAGCCTGAGACAGTGCCCTTCCACTCCAGGAGCAGAGCTCAAATTTAAAAGAGGAAAAAGGTTGAAAAAGATGAGAAAAAAAATGACAGAAAAAGAATCTGAAAGGAGACAGGGAAGACCAAGAACAAACTCAGAAAAGGACAACAACATCAAATATCTATGGGCAAAGCCCTGAACAAAAATGTGAAGTGGTCTCAAGCCCAGAAAGAACTCATGGAAGAGCTCAAAAAGGAGCTTAAAAATCATATAAGACAGGTAGAAGAAAAATTGGGAAAAGAAATGAGAGTGATGCACGAGAATTATGAAAAAAGAGTCAACAGTTTGGAAAAAGAAAACAACCACTTAAAAAGTAGAATTGGCCAAATGGAAAAGGAGATCTAAAAATCTACTGAAGAAGACAACTCCTTAAAAAGTACAATTGGGCAAATGGAAAAGGAAGTACAAAAGCCAACTGAGGAAAACAACTCCTTGAAAGTTAGAATTGGGCAAGTGGAAGCTAATGACTCTATGAGACATCAAGAATCAATCAAACAAATTAAAAAGAATGAAAAATAGAAGAAAATGTAAAATACTTCATTGGAAAAACAACTAACCTAGAAAAAAAATACAGGACAGACAATATCAGAATAATTGGGCTACCTGAATGCCACAATAAAAAAAAGAGGACCTGGAGGGCATCTTTCAAGAAATTATCAAAGAAATACACTAGTATCCTGGAACCTGAGGGCAAAATAGGCACTGAAAGAATCCACCAATCACCTCGGGAAAGAGATCTCAAAATAAAAACTCCAAGGATCATTATAGCCAAATTTCACAACTATCAGGTAAGGGGGAAAATGCTGCAAGTTACCAGAAAGAAACAATTAAAATATCAGGGAGTCATGATCAGGATTATACAGGACTTAGCAGCTGCAACCTTAAGGATCAGAGGTCATGGAACATGATATTTTAGAAGGCAAAGGAGCTAGGACTACAACCAAGAATCACCTATCTGGTGAAAGTATAATACTTCAAGAGGAAAAATGGTCATTCAATGAAATAGAAGGATTTCAAACTTTCATAAACAGAAGATCAGAACTGAAGAAAAATTTGATCTCCAATATCAAGACCCAAGAGAAGCATAAACAGGTTAAAAAAAAGGAAAAGAAAACATAAGGGATTCAATGGAGCTGAACTGTACATTCTTACATGGGAAGATGATATTTGTAATTTTTTTTTAAATTTTTAAAAATTTATTTCTTTTTAGTTTTCAACATTCACTTTTATAAGATTTTGAGTTCTAAGTTTTCCCCCTCCATCCCCTCCTCCCTCCCCAAGATGTCATGTAATCTGATATAGGCTATACATGTGCAATCATATTAAACATATTTCCACATTAGTGATGTTGTGAAAGAAGAAGCAGAACAAAAGAGGAAAAGCATATAAAGAGAAAAATAGACCAAAAAAGGGAAAATAGTATGTTTTGTCTTCATTCAGACTCCACAGTTCTTTCTCTGGGTATGGATAGCATTTTCCATTATGAGACTTTTGGAATTGTCTTAAATCATTGCATTGCTGAGAAGAGCTAAGTCTATCCAAGTTGGTCATTGCACAATGTTACTGATACTGTGTAAAATGTTCTCCTGGTTCTGCTCACTTCACTCAGTATCAGGTCATTTAAGTCTTTCCAGGTTTTTTCTAAAATCTGCCTGTTCATCATTTCTTATGGAACAATAGTATTCCATTACATTCATATACCACAGCTTGTTCAACCATTCCCCACTTGAAGTGCATCCCCTCAATTTCCAATTCTTTGCCACCACAAAAAGAGTTGCTATATTTTTGTACATGTGGGTTCTTTTCCATTTTTTATGATCTCTTTGGGATACATGCCTAGATACTTGTAATTCTTAAACATTATACCACCAATAGTTCAACTAAAAGGAATATACATAGAGAGAGGGCACAGGTATAAGATAAATTCGAGGGAATGGCAGAAAAAATAATAAAGGGATGAAAAAGAGTAGTACACTGGGTACAGAAGGAAGGGAGCGGTAGAATGGGATAAATTATTTCACATGAAGAAGCATGAAAAACCTATTATAGTGGAGGGAGAGATGGGAAGGTGGGCAATGGGGATCACTTGAACCTTACTCTCATTAATATTGGCTCAAAGAGGAAATAATATGCACAATCAGTTGAATATAGAAATTTATCTTACTCTATAAGGAAGTAGCAGGGGAGGTGATTAAATAAATGGGGGGGGGGGGTTACTGACAGAAGAGAGGGCAGACCAGGGAAGGTGGTAGACAGAAGCAAAACATTGTCAAGGAGAGAAAGGGTGAAAGGAGAGAGAGGACAAACAGGAGGAAAACTAGGATGGAAGGAAATACGTAGTTAATAATCATAACTGTGAATATGAATGGAATGAACTCTCCCATAAAATGGAAGCTATCAGAGAGGATTAAAAACCGGAATTCTAAAATATGCTGTTTACAAGAAGCAGAGTTGAAGCAGAGAGACACACAGAGAGTAAAAGTAAGAGGCTAGAGCAGAACCATTTATGCTTCAGCTGAAGGGAAAAAAAAGCAGGGGTAGCAATATTGATCTCATACAAAATAAAAGCCAAAATATACCTAATTAAAAAGGTACCATAGACAATGAAGTAATATCAACACTAAACAAATATGCATCAAGTGGAATAGTATCCAAATTCTTAAAGAAAAAGCTAAGTCAGCTAAAGGAAGAAATAGAGAGGAAAACTATACTAGTAGATGACCTCAACTGTCCTCTCTCAGAACTTGATAAACCCAACCAAAAAAGAAACAAGAAAGAAACTAAGGAGGTGAATAGAATATTAGAAAAGTTAGATATGACAGATTTTTGGAGAAAACTGAATGGGAATAGAAAGAAATATACTTTTTCTCAGCAGCATATGGTACCTACACAACACTTGACAATTTGTTAGGGCATAAACACCTCAAAATCAAATGTAGGAAAGAAGAAATATTAAATGTATTATTTTAGGATCATAATTCAATAAAAATTACCTTCAACAAAGGGCAGTGGAAAGATAGATTAAAAATTAATTGGAAACTAAATAATTTAATCCTAAAGAATAAGTGGATCAAAGAACAAATCATAGAAACAACCAATAATTTAATTAAAGAGAATGACAACAATGAGACAACATCCCAAAATTTATGGGATGCAGCCAAAGTAGTGCTTAGGGGAAAATTTATTTTTCTAAATTCTTATATCAACAGAATATAGAAAGAACAGATCAATGAATTGGGTATGCAACTTAAAAAAAAAACTATAAAAAGAACAAATTACAAATCCTCAACTGAGCACCAAATTGGAAATCCTGAAAATCAAAAGTG